GAGAAAAGTCTAAGGACTGAGTAACTTTGAGTGGTGCTATACTCATCGTGAAAAACCTTCAATCTAGACCTAAGTGTTGTAAAGGCTAGATTGACACTAAGTGTATTGGGCTTAATACTTTAGTGAAATCCATCTGAAAGAGGGTGGGACTTGACGTAGGAGGATTACACCACCTCTGAACCAGGATATATTGTGTGTTGATTTACTTTCATTCAACAAAGCACACACTTAGCACCTCTTACAAAAAGATTGAAGTTTGCCAGCAGAATCCTAAGCAGTTGTCTTAAACTGACTCAACTGCTTATCCTAAGCAGAATCCTTAGCACCTCTTAATTACAGCAGAAGTGCACCAATATCACCAAAAGGTCTATTCTAATATTTCCCAGAAACTCATAGCAGGTGCCTCAGCAGTCCCCTGGAATCCACCCAACTGCTGAGCCTTTTGCTCATATACACTTGTTTCTCTCAAGCATCTCAATATCACCACATCTTCATATAATCACCAACTAAGAGGTTGACCAAACTGCTCTCAGAAATTCACCCTCTAAACCAAGCAGGTACCTTAGCGGTGCCCTCATTACCACCCAACTGCTGAGACCACTGCTTTAGTAAAACTCCTGATTACTGTTACTAAAGCACATTTTCTGAAAGCCCTCATTATTCTCAGCAACATTTCATTATCACCTTCATCAAACACCCAATATTTTCTCAACAGTTGACTTAGCAGTTCCCTGCTATCTAGCCAACTGCCAAGCCAACTGCCGGATATTTGGGTTCAATCTTTCACCTAGATAGAAAGTATTCATACACTGATTCCATAAAGGGTAAAGACTTCCGCTGTGCGTCTATAATTCTCTCAAAAGATTATAGATCAACTTTTCAGAGGGAGAAAGGCTTTAAAGTCAAAAAAGATTTAAAAGTCTATTCACCCCCCTCTAGACTTTTACCCTATCTGGAACCATCAGTGTGTAATACTTAGAAATGAAAGCATTAAATATCTTAATGGTCTCCAAGTTAATGGCAAATTGTCCTCGGCCAAGATCTATGACTTGCTCAGAATTAAGGGGGAAACTAGCATTTGGATGCCCTTTATTTGGAAACATCATATTCCCCCTAAATTCCCCTTCACGGTGTGGTTAGCTTTCCGTAACCGCCTTGCTACTTTTGATAATTTACATAGACTTGATGTTGTTAATATTTGTCCATTTTGTAAGGGTGGTCCGGAGACGGTACCACACCTATTTTTTGATTTTTCTTTTTTAGGTGGAGTTTGGCAGAAGGTTAGGACATGGCTGGACTTTCCAAGGGAGATGAAGACGATGCATAGTGCGCTGAAATGGATCAGGAAGAGTAGACAAGGCTCGAGAGTCAAAACTAAGGCGGCAAGAATTGCTTTTTGCTACTCCGTGTACTGGATTTGGAGAACTAGGAATGCCACTTGCTTTGATGGTTTGGTGCTGAATCAAGATGATGTTTTTGCTAGGATCCAATATATTACATATAAGATCCTCTATAGCCTCTATCCGTATGATCTTGTAAACCTTTAGTTGGCTTTTGCTTGTCCTTCACTTTATTTTGGTGTTTGGACTGTTTTTGTGTTGGCTGCTGTTTTGAGCCCTTTTGTTGCTTCACCAATATTGTGTTTTGTTGGTGTTTGCTTTTGCGTTTGGCAGCCTCTTTCTTGTGATTGGGAAGGTTATCCTTGTTGGATAACCTTTAATTTTGTTTCCCTTTCTTTGCTTGTATATCCTTGAACCCCCCCTCTTCTCTTGGGTGTATATTTAATATACTTACATTTCACCCAAAAATATAAATGAAAGCATTATAGATACCTTTCCACGTTGTGTAGATCGCCGGTGCTTGCTCCAAAAACTATCCTCTTGCCGCCCCTTTCAAAGTATAGGGAAAGCTTTTGAGTTGAGGTCGTCCTCGGTGAGACCATGCCTAGGAATTCCTTGGATAAATCCATAGAACTCAGTGATGAAGTTAAGTGGATTCTCCCCCGGAAGACCATGATATTGAGGCATAGCATTGAAGTAGCTATTTTTCATTTCATAGTCCCTTGCCGCATCGCTTAGGACAATACATGAGGGAGTGGCGGCAACCACGGGCCTAGGTCTTCCTCGGTGAGACCATGCCTAGGTCTTCTTCTTCTTTTCTCTTTTGTTCCATACTCTTCTCCACAGGCCATCTCCGCTCTTCATCATCTTGTTCCATCTTCCATCATTAGCACCATCTCATAACCTTCCATCTTCACCATCTCCATTATTATCTTCAGTTTTCATCTACCTCACCATATTCATCACCTCTCATCTTCACCATCTTCTATGTCATTACCACCACTATATATACCTTTGTCATATACTAGGATTGGAAAAATGAAGTTTTGGAGTCATCAGAAAGTCGGTGTGGTTTATAAAATAGCCTATGCCAGACAAAATTGTGTGCCGACATTGGTTTTTTTTAATATGTATGTGCCTAGACAAAATTGTTAAGCACATACACTGATTTTTGTACCTTTTAATTTGTACATATCAATTTCACATTATACACATTAGAGTTTTACATTTTATTCGGGTTTAAAATTATAGGGGTTTTATTGAAACCCCACTCATGTAATTCACATAATAAGTTAAAAAATACTGCGTATGTACATACAAGGTTACAAGGATAAAACTCATAAATGTATAGTAGCTATGGCTTCTTAAATACAAATCTTTAATTAATACAAGTTCAAGACTTTGTGGTTACTCTTATACTACGTATTAATTACTATGATTGCAACCCACTAATAATCTCTTATTTTCAAAATAATCGAAGGTTTTGGGATAACGCTACACATTTTTTAGTAAAAAGTAACTCAACTTAGGATAACTACTGATGTATACAAATAATATATTTTACTCCGTGCTAAACAAGTCAAACCAACACAGCCACATATTATAACCCAAAGTAAACGATCTCGCTTGCTAGCCCTGGGGTTTATAGATGTAATAACTTTTTATCTTAATTTGCCACGTCCAAATTACAGGTTTGTCAATGGCCAGTCATTATCGGGTGCGGTTTATTGGTGTTACTGTGCCACTAAGTGCGGTAAAAAATTGCATTAATTTCTTTTGATCATCAGAACGACTTTCATTAAAATAGAGCTAACATACAAGATAAAATCCTGACAGTTATTACAAATCTGATCGCACATCTTAGGAGTAGACTTGGAGTCAGTCACTCATACAAAAGAATATGACTCGCTACACACAAACAGGCAAGAATAAACCTAAAACGATCGAAAGTGAAGCATTGTCTATCAAAAGTTCATCAAAAATCAAAATACTCCATTCGTACCTATTCGAACTGAAATAAAAGCAAGTACCACTAAGGGAAAAATAATACGAACAGTAAAAAAATATAACCTTATAATTATAATGATAATAGTAGTAATTTACAATGATTATTTGATGTGCAATGTTATACTCAAAATAATTCTAGTTATAATTTTTAGGGAAAAGGGTCAAACAGACCCTTCTAGTATTTTCAATTCGTCACTTAAATCTGCCTACTCAAAAAGCATACGCTTATTTTTTAAATAAAGTCAATCAAGGCATTTTGGCCTGCTATAGCGGGTTATTTTTTTAATAAATAAATTAGGACTCTTGATAAACCTTAAAAAATTCATATGAATTTTAAAAATAATTTAATAATAATATAAAAAAGCATAATTGTAAAATAGATAAATAATCGAAAGAAACATTAAAATAAAAATGAATAAAATCAGAAAACATAAAATAAAGTGAAAATATAAAACTTATAAAATATAAAATGAAAAAATCATTTAAATAGATGTAGAATATACAAATAATTTCAAGATTTCAAAAACATTGACTTTGACATTCTAAAACTTTTCACAATTTTCATCTATATTTATTCAAATTTTAAGATTTTGTAGAGTTTTTTAATATAAAAAACACGCTATTACAGGTCAAAATTTGAATAAATGGTCAAATTGATCAATTTTTAAAGTAAGCGTGTATTAATATTATGTTATTTGACCATTTTCCCTATTTTTTTTTCAGTAGTATTTTAAAAAGAACATCTGTTTTTATAATAGTTCACATTTTCATATTTAGAACTTTTATTCAATTTTTCCTTATTCTATTTCCCACTTTTTTAGATCTCACCTTCAATTCTATTTCTATCTTTACTACTTTTATCTCCCTTTTTCATAGTAGTTTTCTTAGTTTTAGTAAATGGGCTAGTTATCTATTTTATCTTTACTATGATTTCATTACTAATCTAGTCACTAGTCACATTTTTGTAATCAATCTTTACTATAGTCATAAATATGTAATTATTATTATTTTTAAACATGTATAAAATTTATGAAAGTACTAGAAGTTAAATAATTTTTTTGGGTCATTTTTTGATTTATTTTCACTAATATTTCATTTTTTCTTTTTTCCAATGAGTAAAAATGCCATTTTTATGTCATTTTCAAATAAAAATGGCAGTTTTTACACAAAATGACATTTTTTGTCGATCGGATGTGGCATTGCTGGGCGGTGGCCGAGGTCGCGGGAAAGGGGTCCATATTTTTGTATGAAACATCAAGGTGCGAGACACATTTAATATATGACGGTGCTTAAGCTTTACTCTGCCATTTTGCTGGGGTGTTTCAACACATGATGTCTGGAAAATAATACATTGATGTTCAAAATAACACCGTGATAAACAAGAGAAAATATCGGTAAGCTTTCTTTTTGTCACGTGATAAATACGGCCACACAGCCCGTGAATAATCATCAACAAGATTCGGGAAATAAACATCATCACAAGTAGAACGGGTTTTATAAGGACATCAGAAATCACAATGTATCAATTCCAAAAATCCGACAAACTTTATTAATACTAAGAGGAAAAGAATTGCGAACTTGTTTGGCTGGTGGACACACCTCACAATCTTTATCCTACTTTTTTTTAGAAGAACTAAAACTAACATCAGGTAACAATTTAATAACTCGATCAGAAGGATGACCCAAGCGACGATGCCACAACTCAAATTCTGATAATTTTGACGTGTGGACAGCATGTAGAGCGAGTATCCCTCGGAAATAAAAGAGTCCATCTCGCCTTTCACCGGCTCCAATCAGGTTTGTCGAGTGTAGGTCCTATATAGCACCAAATGAATTAGTAAAAGTAGCAATACAAGCAGATGGATCAGTCAACCATGAAATAGATATGAGATGACAATTCTATCAAGGGGCCTATAGAACATGATTGAGAATAAGATTAATTTGTGGAGAGGCGTAAACACCCCTCTAAAATAGCAGCGATGGTCCGTCCATCCGGCAATCCAACCGGACATGCATGAATACGAGTATGATTGATAAGACAAGACAAACACTCGTCGCATGGTGAGATGCCCCCGGTATCGATAATCCACACCGAAGAATTAAACTTACCCGACATTCTATCACATGAACTAGCTAGTTTCAGCATTAATCAAACTTAAAAGAGCCTGAACCTGCTTTGTGCTCAATTCACTCAAACCGTGCACCTCATAGTTGCAAGAGGAGGCACTCACGCTTGGAGGCAGCAAAGAGAATGACACAGCGTAAGTTTGTACCCCCCCCTCCACGGACAACTGCAGTACCTTTGTTGCAGTTCCTTTCTTCTCACCAATCCGGATAGCCATGTAACATATACAACATGTACCAATTTCATGCCCCTTTGTTGGTAGTTGAAGCACGTTAGCTTGGCACGATCAATCCAGTTCTAGCATCCCTTGCTCGCACAATCAACAACTTTGTGGTTTCCGTGAGCAATGGCATGAGAGTTCTCCTATTGGAGAAAAGCTTCATGTCCACGATTAAGATCAGGCAAAAGATTGGAGAAAAGCTTGAAGTTGTTCTTCTTCACGATAGCGACATATTTTTTCGACTACATTGCAGGTGTATAATCCCCACGTACATGCATGCAGGGGTTTGAGATGATTTAATTCATCAAAAAACCTATGAGAGTCGTGTAATAGGCATTTACCGACATTGATTTGGACTGTTGGCAATGCTGAAACGGTTCTCCAAATATACCCACAATGAGCATGCCTCATCATGGAAAGGTATCGACAACACCACCGCCGATTCCATGCTCTGTGCCAACCACGAGAGGATCATGGATTTCACGGTGTCCCAATCGAGCAGTTTTGGCGCCTCAGTTGGTTTCTCATGTCATCCACAGAGCCTTAATTCTGGCGAGCATTCAAGGACAATGCAATGGCTCGTGACTAGGCCACATAATTATCACCCTTGAACACCACATGAGTAATGAGATTCCCTGGTTAATCGCCAGTGTCGAGGTAAAATGATGAGGTTGAGTCGCTCATGTCGGACGAATAAAATCATGTTGATGTTGCTTTGATTGCCGATGGAGATGCGAGCTTCGCCGGTCATTCTATGGCTCTGATACCATGCTAAACTTGGTAATAGCAATTAGGGTAATTTTTCCTTAGCCTTCATCCACTGAGATCTATATCTAAGACAATATATACAAGTAATATATACTCCCTCTGTCCCTTAAAAGTTTTCCAACTTTGACCGGCACAGGGATTAATAAAGTAAAAACTGTGTGGTTGAGGTTTGTGCAGAAGAGAGAGAATTAACTGGAACCACAAATTATTTACTTAAAGGGGGAAGTGGAAAAGTTAGTGGGACATCTAAAAAATGAAAGTTGACAAAGTTTTAAGGGACATGGGGAGCATATTGTAAGCCTTCATTCCACTAAGATCTATATTTTTCCTTAGCCTTCATTTTTCCTTAGTTAATATATACAAGTAAACCTATATTGTAAGCCCTTGGCCCAACTAATTACAATATAAGCTAATTACAAATTAAATATCTAAGCTATAATGTTGTCTAATAATATTCGTTTTAGTATGTTGAAGGAGAATCATTATAAGAATGGTTTTTTGTAATACAAGATTAAAAGTCACTAAACTCTTATTAGGTCTTAATTTTTAGCGTAATTGTTGGGATTGGAAAATTCTTCTATTCAATATCAAGAACAGAATTACAATAGGAGGAGCAAACTCTCACACTCAACTATTACAAAAAACCAATCCTCACCAATACACTTCTACACTAAGTGTATTTCACTCTTCACACACTTTTCTCACTTTCTAAACTGATACTATGAACAACAATGGAGCACTCTATTTATAGGGCTGGTTTGGAGACATGAGGAAGTTGCATCCAAGCTTCCTAGTTATCTCCATATCTTCTCCCACACCTATTTGTTGGAGGGCTTTCCAAGAAGGTGCCTCCATGTTAAGGTGTCTCTTGGCAACTTCCAAGAAAGAAGGTGGAAGATACCTACAAATCTCCCCCTTCACCTTTTTCTTTATTTCTCTCGTTCCCGCGGTGCTCGCTGGCTCCCCCTCGCTGGCAACAAGTATCCATTCGGATGTGGAGTATTTTCTTTGTGGAACTATGCCTCGCATAGAACGTCGAACATGAATACCTTCAGATTCGTCTTCAGATGAAGGCTCCCCCTGCTGAGGAATATCATCACTGTGAGTATCATCATCACCTGCTGAACCATCACTCTCGTGTTCAGTAGAATCATGCATCTCCTCGTCACTGAGAGGAATGTTTGATGATACAGGCACTTCGTCTTCTGGAGTATGTTGTTGGCGGATTATTGGAGCGCACCCATGAAACTCGTTTTCATGAAATACAACATCTCTGCTTCGAATAACTTTCTTCACTTCGGGATCCCACAACCGGTATCTGAATTCTTCATCTCCATAGCCGATGAAGATACATGGGTTTGACTTGAGATCAAGCTTCTGTCTCAACTCCTTGGACACATGTGCAAATGCCTTACACCCGAACACTTTCAAGTGAGAGTAAGAAACATCTCTTCCTGACCATTTCTTCTCTGGCACTTCAAAGTTTAAAGGAACAGAAGGTGACCTGTTTATAAGATAACAAGCTGTCAGCACAGCTTCACCCCAAAATGGCTTAGGTAGCTTAGCCAGACTCAACATGCAACGAACTTTCTCCATAATGGTCCGATTCATTCTTTCGGCTACACCATTGTGTTGCGGAGTTCGTGGAACCGTCTTCTCATGTCTGATTCCATATGCGGCACAATATGCTGAGAATTCTCGGGAAGTGTACTCTCCTCCATTGTCTGAACGCAGACACTTCAGCTTCTTCCCTGTTTCTCTTTCTACCATGGCATGAAATGATTTGAATCGATCAAACACTTGATCCTTACGATTTAAACAGTAGGTCCATACCTTTCGTGATGCATCATCAATGAATGTCACGAAGTATCTGCTTCCTCCAAGTGACTCCTCTTCAATGGGTCCACATACATCAGAGTGGACAAGACTGAGTAACTCTGTATGGTTCTTCTTGGTAGAACTGAAGAAACCTTGTGTTGTTTCCCAAATAGACAGTGCTCGCATGAATCTAGGGCAACACCTTTGCCCATGGAAATGACTTCCTTCTTTGCAAGAGTTGTCAATCCCTTCACGCTCAAGTGACCTAACCTCCGGTGCCACAAGTTTGGTGATATCTCTTCTTCAACAGCATTGAGACTCGGATGACACAACTTTGCATGAGTTTTATAAAGAGTTCCACAAATATGGCCTCTTGCAACAACCAAGGAACCTTTAGATAGCTTCCACGTACCTTCTTTGAATCGGTTAAGATATCCTTGTTGATCCAGAGCTGTACCGGAGATAAGATTCAATCTAAGATCCGGAACGTGTCGAACATCTTTCAACACAAGTTCGCATCCGACATTGGTTATTATGTGCACATCACCAATGCCAACAATCTTCGAGAAACTGGTGTTTCCCATCTTCACAACTCCAAAGTCTCCGGACTTATAAGTTGTGAATAAGTTCTGGTGTGGAGTGGCGTGAAATGATGCGGCTGTATCAATCACCCACTCAACATCATGAGTGCCTACGTGTAAACATTCTTGTTCACCATGTGTAACAAGACACACGTCTGATGACAAACTAACCATGGTCTCACCATCTTCTTGGCTAGTATTTTGACTCATCTGTGGCTTCTCTCGTAGAAACTTTCTATAATCTCTTTTCCTATGTCCATTGATGGAGTATATGGCCCGGGAACCCCCGGCCCACAGACTCCTACTGCTCCATCAAAGGCCCAACAGGCCCAAATCACAGCGCCCAGAGTACCAAGCAGTCCGCACAACGCGCCAGGGGTGCCTTCGGCCCCCTGGCCGAAGGCTCCAAATTCTCACAGAACGGGTTTCTCAAGCAAACTAAGAAACTGGGAGAAAACGGCGAAAACAGCAGCCCTCGGCACTGTGAGCCCTCGGCACCAGGGGTGCCATCGGGTGGAAGAGCCCTCGGCTACTGCTCTATAGCCGAAGGCGTCTCACTCGACAAGATATCCGCCTCACATGCGTACAGATCACCGTACCCCGCACAGACGTCCCATCCAACAGCCGCATTAAATGCGGCCACATGCGGCTGCCAGCGCCAACCAGTTCAGGTGACCCCTCGGCCAATGAGCGCTTGACACGTGTCCCTTCCCGGCATTTATTGCTACTATAAATAGCACCCCTTTTCCCCATTTGTAACCAAGTCATAACACGCTGAAAACGGCATTCATACTGAATACACTCTCTCTCTACTTTTATTCACTTACTCTGACTTCTCTCTAGATTACTCCCCGTAATAACCCTTCGGATATATACCCCCGGGTAGACTATCCATCATTTGGTGCTCTCGTTGAGAGGTTGAACAATCGAGTAAGAAACCCTTCCCCTCGACCAAACACAAAACACTAGCCCTCTATCAAAATGGTGAGGACAACACGTGCCAACTCAAAGAACGTAGAAGACAAGAATCTGCCCCTCGGCGACGTCAACGCCCCCGAAGCCTCTCACAGGGCTCCCGAGGGCGGTGTCATCGCTGGGCTGGAACAGGCGGCTGTCGACCTACGCCTTCAGATCCAACAAAACGCCCCCGATGCCCGCCTCGGCATCGAGGCCAAGAAGAAAAACCGGAGCGATGACCAAGTCAGCCCTCCGGTTCTCACCATCGACGTACAATCGGCGCTCTCCGCCTTCATCCAAACGCTCACTCAGAACCCGGGTGCCTTCGGCACCCTGGCTCCAGCTC